TTATACAATTATTCCTTCTGCTCTTTTTTCTTTCTCCTCTTCTTATGGGATTCCTATAGTGATCAGTCTGAATCATTTCAATTGTCCTGTCTTCAAGTTCATGGATCTTTTCTTCTGTTAGCTCAAATCTGCTGCTGAACCACTCTAGTGAATTTTTAATTTTAGTTAATGTACTTCCAAGACACAGAATTTGGGTTTGGTTTCATTTTATAATTTCTCTTTGTTAATATTCTCAACATTCTCATTATGTTCATACATTTTCTTGTTTCCTTTTTTTTTTTTTTTTAAGACAAGACATTATTTATTGAGGTAAATTGTTTAAAGATGACTTCATGGGATAGTTTTCGCTCAAGGTTCAAAGGTGTTTCTAGGCAATACAATTGGGAGTTCCTCTTCTTTAATTCTTTGAACAGTTACTTTAAAATCAGTATCAAATAGGTCCAATATCTGTTCTTCCTCAAGGATGGTCTCTGTTGGTTTATTTTGTTCCTTGAATAGACTATCTTTCCATTTCTGTTGTGATTTTTTTGGTTTAAAACAGGATATTTGAATTATATCGTAGCCCTAGAACTCATGTTCTCACGCTACTTCCTCAGGGTTTGCTAGGTTAATTTCCTTCTTTTCTTGTTGAAAGCTATAGTAGTACATTAGCTTAGTGACTTTTTCAAATGTTCTGCAATTCTGCCCCATGGCCATGATCTCCTAGCTGTTCATTGGTGTTTTGACAGTGTGAGCACTGCTGTTTTGTGCTTGTATTTTTACTTTCTCTGTGTGAAGCTAGGAGCATGGAGCTTCCTACTCTGACATCTTGATTCTGCTGTCAACATCATAGATATTTTAATGTAAATCAGAAAAAAAGTAGTGCAAATTCAGTCTTCCAGGTAATGCAGTCCTACCAGGTAATTGCACCTGAATATTTAATTAGTATAGGCAGTTTTATAGTAAGTATGTTCTTACCTTTAAGACTCTTTTGGATGGGCAAAGGGAGATGTCCCTAGATCTATGCCTTTGGCTGACATGACTTTGTTAGTATTAAAATTAACATCTGTGTATGTGTGCAGGGATAATCTGAAATAGAGTCTTTAAATGTATAATATATATACACAATCAAGTCCTTTTATGAAAAAAAAATTCTCCTTATGAAATTCTGAACTATGATGAATTTTCCTTTCAAAAAGAAAAGGATGAATAAGGGTTACCCAAAACTTCCCCCATTTATGGTATATCCAAATTTTCTGTATCACTTGAATCTATGAGGCATGAGTCAAAGTCTCTGACTTAGACTCAGAAAGTCACTGAACATTTACATTTTGAGCTAGACATAAATAAAGAAACTTCAGTGAAAGAGATCCTAAAAAACATCTAACAAAGATTTGGGAAAGACATATGCAAATGAATTAATTTCAAACTCATGTAATGTTTAAACTATGTAAAGAGTCTCTTGCTCAGTTTACATAAAAACAGAATCTCTCTACATTTATTCTGGGTTTGATGTTCCTAATTATTTCTCAAGCCTTAAATGCTAGAGTAAGAAATATTCCTAGCATGGAACATTTTAGAAACATACCCCAATGAGGAATTCTATTTAGAAAGCATATGCAAAAATTTTAGCTTTCTCTATATATTTTAAGTCTCTATATATGACTTTTTTATTTCTCAAAATGACCTTAAGCTGCCAATGATAAAAGCACTTTGCCTTTCCAGCCCAGGCAACTTGTAACAGCTAGTTAACAAAAGGCACTGCCCTTTTACAATAGGAATTCAACACAGAGGGTATGATGGAAAGCCATTTTATTTTTCCCTAGATAATATTTAAAATAAAAGACCTTAATTAAAAATGCTTGGTTCTGTCATGTCACCTGAAAGACAGCATTACCTTTAATTTACACACAGGAAGCTGATTAAAGCCCACCAGTACTCATCTCCTCAGGGTCTTCAAAAGTTTTGCATGTACAAAGTTTTCTGCTACTTTGCTTTAGCTAAAAGCAACATAATTTAAAACCTTTTTTTGTGTCCTATGTGACACCTAAAATCAAGTCCTATATTAATTAATACAGTTAGAAAAATAACAGCCTTAATAAATTCATGGTATGGGTTCATGGTGCTAATCACACAATCTATGGAAACTTAAAATCATTTTTAAAACTCCTACATGACAACCTTCTGGTTTAATTCAAAAGGCTTAAGACTTTAAATCTAGTAAGGTTGTTAAGTCAATGTATATATCAATTATTTTTATTTTTCTTGGGAGGGTTAATTCCCATTGTACACTGAATGAAGGACTTTCAAATATTAATGTATTACAGTATTTACAAGCATTCTTAGATACTTGACACTGATAGAAAGTTAAGCCAAGGGGAGGGAGACAAAAATCTCCCTACAGGGTGACTTCATGAGGCACGGGGACTGGAAGGAGAGATGAGAGGATGAGAAAAAGGTTACAGGGCAGGAATGGCCATTCAGATGCACACACAGCGCTAAGCCATATACAACTCCAAATGATACCAGCCAGCCAACATTTTTTTTTTTCTTGTTGGATCAGAGGTAAATGCTGAATAGTAGAGGACCAAGATAAAGAGGAACACTGCAAAGATATTTACTTTAGAAGTAAAAATACAAAGAAATGTCTAAAGTGAGACTAGGCTAAGGACTCAGAAATGAAGCTCTCCACATTCTAAGTGAATTACCCTACAAAATTTGCCTAATTTAGTTGAGTGCTAAAGTGATTTCAGGACATGAAGGTACATGTTATGGATAAAGGAAGGTTAAATGTAAGAAATTCTTTTGGCACCAGAAGGTGATGCTGATTTGATTTCTACAGTTTTAACTGTGGTGTGTGTCTTTGTTTACACTACTTTCTGCAGAGTGTTCCATAAGGACATTCCACCCGGCTAACCTCTTTGATGCACTTGGAAAACCCTTTTAATGCTACTGAAGATTTACAATTTGAATGTTCAGGTCATAGGTTATCATAATGCCTGAGTGATCCTAGATAGTATCATAAACCTGAAGAAGTGAAATAAGAGAGACTTACTAGATGTTTGCTATGTGAATGTGAATAAAATTTCCATTTTTAGGGTTTAGTTTCTGCTGTTTTAATAAAAACATTAGTTATTATTTTAAAAAACACAATACCCTAGGTGCATGTTATATACATGTACAAACACCACTTCCTCCCACTTGCACTTCTTCCTGGTTGCATGTAACAAGCCCAGGTCTGGGGCCATTAAAGTGTATAGATCTACATACTGATCTGGATATAAAGTTCAAATAGTCCTTTGAAAAATTTTATAAATGAGATTCACCCAATATAATGTTTTTAAACACTTAAACAAGAATCTTAAAATAATTTAAATATTTACATCATCAGTAAGGGTTCCCTGGTGACCTACTTTCACATGCAAATATGAACTATTAACATGCATGATTTTAGTCAGTTGGCAGAGTTTATTTCACAAGTTAAATTTTAATTCACTCAATGAATTGTAAATTTCAATCCACTGAAAACTACCACCAGAGCAGTTTTGAGGTATTACTGTTAATTTAATATAGAAATGTCACTATATTCTGATGTGGTATGAAAAGCTGCTGTGATGCCTTTTATTAAATAGTACTGTCATAGTGTTGGCTACATACGTATTCTAGAGCTTTCAGGCAATTTTTGTGCATACGTATTAAATGATTTTCCAAATATTAATGGCAATTTGATTGGTCGTTGCTTCTAAGCATACCAAAATAATAAAGTATAGCCCATGTTATGGGCCAAGCAAGCTAAAAGATTTCAGGAATACACTGTTACCCTCCAATATACCTTCATCAAAATCCCAACCTACTCACTCAAGTCATTTACAAGGAAAACTAGTGCAAAAAAGCATCTGAAATGCTTGGCAGCAAGGTGATTTTCTTGTAACTTTGAAACAGCTAGACAATATTTTTTCTTTTAAAATTCATTTATAAAAATGAATATATTTCACTTTGAGACCCTATGTCCCAAATTGTGGCTTAATTTAGTTATTAACAATGGCTATATGATAAAGTTATGAAGAATGTAGTTAGAAATGTCTGAGCTCCAGTCCATTCCCCACAGTGTGGTTAGGGTGGGTACTCTGTCACTGTTAGCCACAACACACTGGACTTTTTGACAGACTCTTAGCCTTCTTTGTCCTGAAGCTCTCACAAAACTTTAATTCTTAGACCTCCAAAGTAAAACTACAGGTAACCATGATGCATTTAGGAGAGGGCTTAAAAACTCGCTGCCCTCTCAGTGACCAAGACAAAGAGGAACACTGCAAAGATATGTTACTTTAGAAGTAAGAACAGAAAGATCAGGGGGCACTGATTGATCACCCCAGGGTAAACAGCAGCTTAGAGGAAATGGTGGCCTAGTTGGATGTACAACCTACACTGATGCTACCTTAGAATGCTGGCCGAAAGTCCCTTGTTTACGCTTTATCTTAGAAAAACAATAATTTAGCAGTCAGTTTGATAGTGTTAGCCAATCCTCCTAGGTTTTGTGCTGTGAGATGATAAATAGCATGGTCCTGCCTCTAAATCAGGCAGGGCTTGGGGTCACAATGTATATTAGACATGAACACTGTTTGGTGGAATTGTCAATATGACTTACTGCATAGACTGTGCTAACATTGACACCTGGTTAGGCTGATTTCTCATGTGAGAAGCTTTTGCCTTATTCAGGAAATTATTTGAAGAACAGTGAAGAACTAAACTAAGGAAAAAAGTCTCTGGACTTCAAATCCAAACACACACAAAAGCAAGTTTCAAACTCTTGTCCTCTCTCAGTGCAAGTGAGCAGCTGGCTGGCTTGCCACACATTGTCAATTGATATGAACACAGCATTCAGTCAAGGGGACAATGTGATGCAGCAAAAATCAGATCAGATGCAAATCCATGCCTAGTAAATCAAACCACAGAGAGAGGAAGCTCAGTGTCCCTGCACATGAACACTGATGTAGAGCACAAAGCACCCAAGAGGAATAAGCTCAGATCTCATTGATAGTCCTCTCTGAAGGGCAGTACTCCATGGGGCCTGGTGAGGACACGTAGAAGGACTGTGTCTTCCTTTTCAACCGGGCTCTTTTGTTGGCCAACACCAGGCTACGCCGGCTTGAACTGATGATTTCTGAAATGAACTTCTTGCAGTCTACACACACCTCTGTGGTGTTCCAGTCCTCCATCAGCTCCTTAGGAAACTGTAGTTCTTCATCTGATTTGTCCACAGACCTTGACTTTGAGGAGAACCTGAAAAAAACCCAAACCACCCAGTATCATTACTTGTAGTTCTACTGCAATACTAATAACATAGCATATGTAAAAATAGTAAATTTGTTGCCAAAACATTATAGAATGGTTGAGAATGACTTGATTATGTCAGGTTCTTCCCCAAAAGAATTTGTTATTGGAGAAAAGCTTCAGATATATTAAGCAAAAACAACAACCAGGGAATATGCTTTATAAGAAATAATAATACTGAAAACCCTTATTCTTTCTAGAATTTTTAGAAAATATATATGTATACAATTTATTACTTTACATACATTAACTACATATACACATTATACACGCATATACATACATGTGTCTGGACTGTGAATTTTAGTAACTAAAATGAATAAAACACATGTTGCTAAAGTTCTATTCCATATAATTTTCTGTGCTGAGCTCATTTTGTTTATGATTGTGTTATCATTTCCTTCGTTGCTGTTTTAGTATTTGCTAAATATTTGTGCTTGTCCTCTTTTTTATTGTGGTGTAAAGGTTTATCATTTTTCTTTGAAGTTACCCTGTAATTTATAATTTTCTCCCCAAGTTTAGAACATTCCATTCTATCTTGCAAGTCTACTGACTTCCTTACCATTTAGAAGTTCTGTAACTACGCTATTTTTCTCCTCTTTTTGTATGTATTTGTCCTCATTTGTCAATTGGTATCTCTGGTTCCATGTTTACAATCCTGTAGGCTTATTTACTTTGGATAGTTCCATAACTGGGTTGGTTTCTGAGTTATGTCATCATGTGTATTAATGGTCAGTTGCTGTTTGCTGTTAATTGGTTCTCTGTTTGAAGGACTCCCTTTAGTATCTGTTGTAAGGTTGGTCTGGTTTTAACAGATTCCCTTAATTTCTGCTTATCTGGAAATGTCCTAATTTCACCATCATATCTGAAGGATAATTTTGCTGGGTATATGTTTCTTGGTTGGAAATTTTTTTTTCAGGTTTTTATACATACCATTCCATTGCCTTCTCACTTGCATGGTTTCTGCTGAGAAATCAGAGCTTAGTCTTATTGGTAGCTCTTTGTAGGTAATTTTTCATTTTTATTACGCTGCTTTTAGGATTCTTTCTTTTGTCTTTGGTTTTGGTGAGTTTGATGATGACATATCTTCATTATTTTCTTTTGGGGTCTATCCTGTTTTGGGTTTTTTGGAGTTCCTGAATGGATATATTCTCATCTTTCATCATATCAGGGAAGTTCTTTTCTAACAAATCTTGGACAGTTTTCTCAGTGGTTTTCTTTTTCTCTTCCTATTCTGGAATTCCAATGACACGTAGGTTATTCCTTCTGATGGTATTTCACGTGAATTGTGGGCTTTGTTAATTTTATTTTGATCTTTTTTCTGATTAATCCCTTTCCAAAGAAGTATTCAGGTATTTGTCTTCAATCTCATCAATTCTGTCTTCCATTGCATGAATTCTTCTCTTTTGCCCTTTCAGCATATTATCTATTTCTGAAAATTTAGTATTAATCTGGATATCTGTCTGTAGATTATGTATCATTTTTTTTCATTTGTTCTGTCAGTTTGTTCTTGTATTTTCTTCTGTGTTTTCCTTAATTTTGTCAGTATTGATTTCTTAATTCTGTTGAAGGTACCTAAATGTAATTTTTTTCAATTCCTTATCAGGGAGTTCCAATGCTGCTGCTTCTTCAGCGATGTGTTCTGGGTCTGTATCCTGCTCCCTTCTTTCTACTGCTTTATCTTGCTTCTTTGTGTGGATTGTGATGGTCTGTTGTCTCTGAGACATTTTGACTATGTTGTATTTATATTTAACTGGGGATTGTATGTTGGAATGATTCGGCCAAGATTTTAGTTTTCTTTGGATGTATCTGAGTTAGCAGGGTACTGTACTCCTCTATTTGCTAGTTGGCAGCACTTATGCACTCACCACCTGTCTCCAGGTGGGTGTGATAAAGAATGAGAGTGGCTGCACAGATCTCTGTTTGTGAAGAGCAGTTAAGGGTGTCAGACTCTTATTGGCGGTCGTGTATCATTGGCCAGTTGGCACAGAAGGAATTGGTGGTGCTCACTCAGTAAGTGGAGCTGCAGGAGGTGTAAGTGTGCGTGGGTCATATGGGCATGGTTGCTGTCTCCCACTGAGTTAGACAAAAGCAACAATCAAGAAACCATCATAAAAGTAAAAGCAAGAGAAAAAAAACACATACACTGTATAAACACACAGGAATAATCACTAAAAAGAGAGAAAAGGAAAAAAAAGTGGAAAAGCAATAAATGAGGGAAAATATTTAAAGAAATACTTTAAAAAGCCAAAAGAAATATGAATAGAAAAAAGAGGGAAGAAAAACCTGCAATATCTGGGGAGGGAGGAATAAGAGACAAGAGATAGAGTAGGAGAATAATGAAGAAAAAAAATGGGAAAAAGGGAAAAAGAAAAACAAGGAATGGGGAGAACTACAAGAAAGAAAAAAAATGGGAACCAGGAAAAGGAAAGAGAGAAAAAGCCAAAAACTAGAACCTGGGAAGGGAAGAAGAAAGAATAGTATTAAAAAGGATGAAAAAAAAAAAAAAAAAAGAATAATTTAAAAACAGATAAAACCAAACAAACTATAAAAAGAAAAAAATCTGGGCTGGGCAGGGCAGGGCACCCAGGATCCATCAGATCACACAGAATGGGATGGAATTCCTGCCGGTGCAGAAGATGGGTGGGAGTGAGGGCTGGGTGCCCTCTGTTCACCAAGTGGGTGTGAGGTATAAGAGTAACAAGGGGAATATCACACCTTTCCAGTCCTCAATGTCTGATATGTCCTTGCGGTCCCTAGTAAGTGTAGCCTATTCTTAGGTCTCTGGTATCTGAGAGAATGCTGTCACTTTAAATATCCAAAATGGTTGAACTGCTTGTAAACATTCAAAATGACTGCATCCTCTGGACAGCTAAAAGCCCACAGCTCAGCCCATCTCCCTCTTCATTGCCTTCCCTTTTATTTACCAGCCACCAGTGCAGTCCTCCGTGTAGTCCCTGGCTAGCAGGGCTGTTTTTTAGGTTAATTCTTAGGTCCTAACACCACTTGGCAATATCTAAGCTGTTTGTGCCATCAGGATCACTGATAGTCCACCATCTCTGTATGTCTCCTTTTTCAGTATTTTCATGCAGGTTCTTCTATTAGTTGGAATTTGGTCAATTTCTGTATCCTTCTGTCAAAGCTTAGGGCTCCAGGATTATCTTCTCCATCTGTGTTAATTGGTTCCTCTTTTCTTTGTTGAAGCGGGTCTGTGTAGTTTGTCTGCCTGTTCCGCCATCTTACCAGAACTCTTCACTTGTTGTTAATATTCTATTGATGACTCAGTAGGTACTTTAGTTTTCTCTTTACTGATCTATGGACCCAGGATCAGGATCAGTGAACATTAGATAACATATACAGGAGGTAAGACTATAGGAAACTGAAGTAATTTTTCTTCTTCCTAGGACACCTCCTGGAAATATATTTTTTTACTAACTTTGTTATTGTCATTCATCTGTTTATCAAATATGCCTCCATTCCCCCAAAATTCTCTGTATTCGCTGTATTTGGGCAGTTGGTTATTTGGATTCCAGAGATCCACATACAGTTAACTATGTCAATGTCTATTGACATTCTTAATTATTTGTCGATTCCTTATCTTAATTAAACCAAGCAGGAATGTACTAATAATACATTATTACATAATAATAGAAGAAAATGTAATCTGTGTGGGCTCAGGAGTACAAGAAAGAACAGAGTATCACGTGGACTGCCCCAAGTCCTTGGTGACAATTCATAACCAAAAGTTGTTGTGGAGGAGCATCTCAAAGCATCTGGGCAGTACCCTGGGGCACATGTAAATTGCTGGTCTCATACCATCCTCCCCTCATTGAATACAGAGCTGTCAAATACAGGAGCAGAGATACTCACTAGCATTTAGGGCAGGTGGCTGGTGTAGAAAAGCTTTATGCCTGGCAGCCTGTGGCCAGAGCTGCCCTGATCCTCTCCCCCTTGCTTAATGACCAACGTTAACCCTACCCTGCTTTAAATGGAAAGGAAATGATAGACAGGCAGCTTTTTCTCTTAAATCGTTAGCTCTTGTTATTTAGCTTTATTTCTGCCTTTATGATAGTAAGCCAAAGCTATTAGAGAGCATTGTAAGCACAGAATTAAACATTTTCTTTTGAATTTAGGAAGGAAAGAAGGATTAGAGTGTTATGTGTATTTTTCCCACTCCATTGAAAATAAGGTCAAATTTAAAGATGACTTTAAAGGACACAATAAAGTAGTTATTTCTAAAATAGAAAACATATATAGTTTTCTACTGTGAGATTAAAGTATCCTTCAAATAATCATTGTCCCTTGATAAGTCACCTTTTTAAGTTTTGGAGATTTTTTGGAGGTAAAAACCAAATATATTAAAACTAACCAACTAAACCAAACTCCCTCAAACCCCAAACCTAACCCCTCACTACAGTCCTCAAAAGGAGTGGTGTTCTTTTACATGGGATTCTTTGAAGACCAAGGCCCCTTGCTCACCTGGCAAAGCTCCGAAGTGGTCGATGGTGGCTAGTGGAGGGTTTGTCTGACCTCACAAAGCTTTCTCCTCTTTGCAAGGCAGAAGGTCCCAAAGAAAAGATAGGAAGAGTGGAGTATGGCTTGGATGGCAGCCGCATCTATTATCACAAAATAAAACTGAGAGTGAGCAGTCCTGTTAAAGATGCAGAACCACTAAAATTAACCCAAGTTATAATTTACCAAGCTTATCTTACCTTTTTGCAGCACTGTGAGCACACCGGCCTGCACACAAAATCAAAATCAAAAGCATTACTCAGCATCATGTTACAGATGTTACTGGAGAATCAGAAAAGCCAGCACTCACATGGTTGTGAATAGCCACAACAAAGTGCTAAAATTATCTACCTCTTCTATAGAATATAACAAACAATAAACAACTGTGGATTTGCAACGAGACAGTCAATATGTAAAACTTCACTCTTATGTTGTCTCCTATGAAATGATCAATTTACATCTGTTTGGAATGTTCTTATTTGTCTATCCAAGGATCACATGACAATTTCATGTTTTTTTTTCTTGTTCAAATATGACACATTATTATTGTAATTAATCTTGTTTATGGAAAAAAAAACCCTCAGAGAAGAACATTTTCTAGGTTCAATACAAATAATTGCTTAGTACCCTCTTTTGAAGAGGTTACTATCTCTAATCTACAAGGAGAGCACATGTAATAGAATGGATCATTTTTATTGTAACTATGTAGAAAAGTGATGGAAAAAAATAAAGGATTAGTCTCATTACTGCTAAATCTATCTTTGTCAATTATAAAATACCTACCTCTTACAGAACTGACAGGTATAAGACCAGGTGAAGAAGGAAAATCTCCTGGTTCGACAACAAAAGCAGAGCTAAAACACACAAATTTAAAAGGAGGGAAAAAAAGCATTACCAACAGTTAATTTCCTAATTTACATGTGTGAATACAATTTAAGTTTATATATTAGGACAATTAGTAGACAGAAGGAGGAAGAAAATTCAGAAACTCTGTTTTTGTGTTTGGCTTTGTAATAGTTATATTTTAGTTCTGTGTACTTATAGTTATATTTTAAATGGTAACAGAAGCGGTCAAGCGCTCAGCTGCTAACTGAGAAGTTTGTTGTTTGAACCTACCCAGTGGCTCTGGAGGAAAAAGGCCTAAATTTATGCTCTCATAAATATTATAGCCTAGAGGACCCTATGAGGCAGTTCTACTCTACTCTGTCACATGGGGTAATTATGAGTTGATATTGACTTGAGAGCACATTAACAGCAGCAACATCAACTGGTAATATAACAAGTGTTTTGTTGACAACTATCTCCAACTTTCTAGGGATGATAATATTAACATCTACTCAAAATGGTAGGTAAAACGTTACAGATCTTAAGTGTCTCACCATCCTGGAAGCCATCTGAAGAAGGTTGTGAAAAGTCAGTCTCTGTTTTCTCAGACCTTTTCTTTATAAATTCTTTAAAAGCATAATGACTAAAAGCAGACATGGCTTTTTGAAGGCCTACCATTATTTATAGGAGCTCTGGTAGCGTAGTGCCTAAGGCACTTGACTGCTAACCAGAAGGCTGGCGGTTCAAACCCACCAGCCACTACTCAGAAGGAAGGTTGGGCAATCTACTTCCGTAGTGATACTGCCTTGGAAACTCAAGGAGAGGTCGCTATGAGTCGGGTCTGACTTGACGGCACGTGACAACACCACCACCATTATTTATTATGGTTGTTTTTAAAACTTCTACAGATTTTGATTTCTAAGGAGGAACAAAAATATTCCCTCTTGTGAACGAAGCAGAAATAGGGACTGTCTACTCAAGTAAAAATGTTTTGCCTCCTAAAACCCCCTGAATGTCCTGTACCATCAAGCTAACAGGTAACTTTCTGAGGGACAAGCTGGTGACTCTGACCATTCTAATTCTTTTAATCAATCAACTTTAAAAAGCTATACCTTCCCCTTTTTCAGAGCAGTGTAGACATCCTTGTACTGCTGGTACTTCTCCAGCTCAGCCTTCACCAGGACCTGGCGGATATGCATCACTTCCTCCACTGTTAGAGCAAGGCATTCCACTGGGTAGCAGAATTCCTCCTGAAAGTCAACATACCACATGAATAACAACCCCATTCCCTGTTCTGGCACTAACAAAACAAAACAAAAAACCTCCCTTCAGATCATATTCTTGGTTAGTAGCTTCAGAGAAGAAAAGAGTTTTCCCAATAAAAATTGGACCACAGCTAGCTCACTCTGGTGTACCACACAATTTTTAACCACGTTAAGAGCCAAAAACTTCTAGCAATGCTGTGAAACAATTATATTCTCTCAAAATTTCCAATAAATAAAAGATCCCTACATTTGTTCAAATACTTTGCCACCAATAACTTTATTCCATTAAGTGGAGCTATATATTTACACACTGAAGTCTTGGGGGAAGGGGGGAGAGGAGCACGGGGAGAAACTGTTCTAAACCAATTTTATATTACTTTTATCCTAGGATTATGCAAAGACCAAAACTCACCGCCATTAAGTCGATTCCGACTCATAGGACCCCTATTGGGTTTCCAAGGCAGTAAATCTTTACAAAAGTCGACTACCGCATCTTCCTTCCAAGGAGCAGCTGGTGGGTTTGAACCATCAACCTTTTAGTTAGCAGTCAAATGTTTTAGGCACTGTGCCACCAGAGTTCCTATTATGCAAAGGCATTACTTAGTTCTAACGTTACATGTTAATAGGTATATAGAAGATCTACAAGATTGGCATTGTTTTAAAAAATGGTTTGTGGTACCCAGAATAGCCTAAAGAAGGTGGTTAGTAATTCATACTGAGAAGCATTTTTTAGTGGTCAGTTACATCAGCATATCTTGAAAAATCCTAAAAGTCTGAGTGGAATTTGAGCATTAACCTACTGCAGTTGACAACCAAAAGGCAACTATATACAGGCTGGCCCCCACAGTTATCCAGATTTTTGTTATTATTTTTAAACAAGTGCTGAGTGCACAGTCAGCATTAGAAAGATGTGGAGAAGCTCAGCAGAACTTAGTAATAAGTATTTATGTAAGCAGTTTCATGCTAATGGCTTCCCTAAAAACAGCTGAGGAGGATGTTGATGCAACTGATTCCACTGAATAAAGAGCCTCCCACCATCTGCTCCTTTCCCGGCCTGCATCTGATTGGGCAGATCTCAGAGAAAGACAGAATCAGCCTGTGCATTCCCACCATGCCCTGCCTCACAAGGGCTATTGTGCTGTTAGACACTGAAGCCCAATGTTCCCTGGACAAACACATGGTAATCCACGCCCACTCACTGGTCAAGGCTTCCTGAGATCAACCATGCCAAATGAGAAAGCACAAGACTCTGAATGCAGTCAGTTTCTGGAGTTCCAACATTCAGTTCTGTCTTTCAATCAGAGAAAAGTAAAAACAAATCTATATTGCAAACTGGACAAACATTAGCATTTACTAAAATAGTGTGAAGAACTATTGCTTCTTACTCAAAGTCAATGCAAAATTATCTCTGTTCACACTAACTAAACAAAGATGAAATTTACTAAAATGCTTTGGAAAAAAAAAACTACAATTGAATTTTTAACATGGTGAGCTTTGTATTTGGAGGGCAGGGAGAATGGTTTTGTTTAGAAAGACTGTATCTTTCTTATTTTGTCAGAGATGCTCTAAATACTTAAAAAAATAAAACCCAAAAAAAGCACTAAACTAAACCCACCCATCACCCTATTTTCTTTCTCAATGCCAAAAGCTTTCAAGGATTAAATTGGAATGTTCAAAATCTACTTTGCTTTGCTCTACCCTGAGAAAAGAGAGCAATGTTAAGCATGAACAAAGAAATTGCCTTTCTGAAGGTTAGGTCATTAAAACTGTGTCCTAAACAAGAGTTGTGAGCCAAACACGGCTGAATGGTAGCATTTCTCAGCTTTTAACATTGTAAGAAGGCGTTTACCTCTCATCCATTCAGCCAGGCATGATAAATATGACTGTTGCATATTTTCTGAGGACTGATTATCTGACAAAATGTCTGGGTTCCAACAAAATAATGCAGTAATTTAGCAAATACCTATATAATCACTACTTGCTCTGTGTGGTAAGAAGACAGCAAATAGTGCTAACTTAATTCACTTTAATAAAACTGGGTACCTGGGCTGGTAAACATTTCAGGTAGACTGGTAATTGTTTTTATTTGCAAGGATGTATTAGCCCACTTAGTAAATCTGACAGCTTATACTTTCTTCACTTCACTCTGAAGTCAAAAAAGGCTTAGTCAAACATACTTTCAATTTACAGCTTTACACCATATGCAAGGCCAGTACTTTATAGAATATAATAAGAAATTATGTAAACAAATAAAAAAAACCAGATTATATATTACTAAAATAACTTTTTCATCAGATCAAATGCTAATGTTTTAATTCTGGAGCTTTCCCAAGGACAACAAAACTTTAATGCAACATGAAAGAAAATTACAAATCGTTTCTAGAATAGTTTTATAATTGACAAAAACTACTAATTCAACATCCCAAAGTCAAATTAAGCTTTAACCTATCTTGCTAACATATCATAATAATGCTCTAAAATGTTACTGATTACTTGGGGTTTTAACTGTGTGCAGGGACTCCATCCAGTTAGGAAGCCCAAAGCTCACTCTGTGGCTAGGCCTGGAATGTGGGGTAAGGACACAGCACAACTCTTTTCCCTTTGCTTCTCTCAAATTTAGTAAAAGGAAACTGAACCTTAAAATGAATAAAGATTACAATTTGCTCTAGGAGCAGATGTGCCTTTAGAGCGTACTTTTATGTACAGCACTAAAATTGCTGAGTTTTTGTTCAATATTCTGGTTATAGTTTTCTATTCAAAATGGGTCAGTTAGGCAGCACACAAAGACTCAAGGGTAAAATGTGTAAATTCAGTCATTGAGCCACAGAGAGAAATGGGAATAGAAATGTTTTATATAGTGTTCCCGATTAGCAACAACTTCATATATGTTGCAGATATTTGAAAATTATTTAAATGAAAATAGCAACTATTATATTTAATTACTTTTCTCTTTTTTCAAATTCAACTTTAAAATTCGAAGTGAATCATTTCCTTGCCTAAAGTAACATGGATTTGGTGTGCAAAATGTCTTTGTTGAGGGAGGAGTGACAGGAGTTAAAAAGTCATCCAGCTGGCCAGTGCTGCCCAAAGATTTAAAGTAGGAAGGAACAGAGATTTACCCTGTATTTCATGACAAGTAAAGAGTGAACCTGAAGAATCTGTTGTATCTCATTTCTGTTCTGAAATCTCCTCTCTAAAGCAAGATGGTCAATAAACAGTAACAAAGAAACCAGTTGTTGGCTCATTGTCAGGGATCCTGAAGGGCCAGGATCCTGCATTAGGTGAATAAATGGGAACTACTGTTACCAATGCTAGCCTATAGCACTGTCACAGAGGGGCTAAAGGGACTGTGGTATGATCCAAGGGCTTTTATTATTTCACTGGAGTTTGGAAATTATTACACTTTCTTTAAAGAGGTGAAGGCTCAAATAACAGTAAAATGATCCTATGTAAAAATCTCAACAATAATTATATGTAGAATTATTTAAAATATTCTAAATAACTACATCAGTAAGAAGAAAATTCAGTATTTCTCTTTCCAGGGAAGTAAAGCAGGTTGTCATAAAAATCATACAACACTCTGACCATCCCAACACAGCTTTATGAAAAGTGCTGGGGAAGGAAAAATTTCCCCAAACCTAGGGCAGGCCCATTCTATGGGTACACAGTCCCCTAAAGGAAAGGGGCAATGGGGAGGTAGAATCTCTCATAGCTACCTGGGTTGGTAGGAAGCTGGCTCTGCCAGCTGGGGAGGGGGCAAATGCACCTGTAGGGGAGGCCCTCAGAGAGGAACTTGAAGCGAGGAGGTTGGTGGTCTTCCAAGACACTATAATGAGGCTCTTCAAGAAACAAACACTCACAGGGCCCTTCATCTGATGCTGCATTTTGAGTTTGTTGTCCTTACAAAGTTATTTAATCTCAATTGAGATAATAGAATGATCTACGCATCCTACAAAAGATTGGAATCAGCAATCAGAAGCAAAGTGCCCATTTAAGCTGTTAATTCTTGTAGAGTGTTGCAGTCGAGGTATCACCGGAAAGGAGATAGAGTAAAATAATCCCCAGAACCAGCAGAAAGAGGCCAACCTTTGAGGATTTCCACCTGTTGGTAAAAGCTCTCTCACATAGATAATACATAGCCCCTGCTACCCCAAACATGGCTGCTTCAAAAGGATGAGAGCTGAGCAGAGAAGCTGTTTGTATGGTAGAAAAAAGTGGTCGGAAAGGCGTCCTTGGCAATATACTGGTTATCCCAGGAACCTGAACAATAGATAAGGAAAAAAAAGAAAATAGCACGGGAGGAATAAAAGGAGAAAATAATGCTGAATATGAATGAGCCACAAATAGTGATTCTTGATCATGAAAGAAAAACAATACAGGAAAAAATTACCATGAGGACCTTAATGGGAGATTCTATGCAGGTGTCCATGGCAACACCTAAACCTGTATAATAAAGTCAGTAATCCAGCCAGGAAGTCATTCCTAGAGAGTTCCAAAATGCACACAGCAAAAACGTAAATTTAGAAGTGGACACCAAGAGCTGACTTGCTCCTTCCCTAGGGAAAGTGCTTATAGACAAGTAGTCTTTAACCTGGATAGGCAATCACCATCAATCATTTGACCAAATGGTGAAAAAAATTACATTTTAAACATCCTAAGGAAAGGGAGAGAGATAACAATAAAAGGAAAGATTAATAACATAAAGATTAATGCCATTTTCAGTTGAGGGCTTAACTATAAAATGATTCCTTGTGTAATATTTTAACTTGTTATTACACTTTTAAAATAATACCTACCAATTTAGAGGGCACTGTGTGACTTTATGGATTGGCTGAGACAAGCTACTAGCAAGAAAAGTTATTCCTTTGACAGGATATTTGGTTTGTCTCAGCTGGTCCCAGAGGCACTTGGAGGAAGTCATAGTTTTGTGTGGGTGACATTTCACCAGTCCATGACCTAAACATCCACAATGCCACCCAGAGGGGCTCACTTCAGCCTTTTCACTTAGACTCATCTTTGGCTGGTCAAGAGGTTTATCTTGATCTCCTTCCCCACAGCGAACAACTTCCAATCTGACCAAACACACAGTGAGAGTTCAGCTTCACCATGGACCCTAGATGAGGGCTGATGGCCTTTCCTGGCACAACTTCTGATTATAATTAGCTGAAACTACTTTGGTAGCTGATGTGGTAATTCCTTTACATTAATAATATACTGAATTTAACTTAGGTCTAACCTCAACTGTGGCATTATACAGTCACAAAGGCCAAGTAATCGCTGAATGACAGACTGACTTCTAGGAAAAGCCTGATAAAAAAGATCATTCTAATTATTGGACTTATGAAAAAAAATCACAAAGGTGTTCCCTCTTACATATTTTAAGTTGTGCCAATAACAGTATATTTTTGCTAAAGCAACAACTTACTCATATTAACAAAGGTTTCAGATTTTAGTTTGAATCTGATTGGTCAGAATTCTGCTTCTCTGTTGGTAAATCATGAAATCCAAGGCTGTATTTCATCAAATGGCAGTGTTTCAATTATTATTTAGGCCATAGAGGACTCCTACCAGGAAAGGCCATAAAATCATTATTTCTTTAATTGCGTTGTTTTAGGAATAGAAATGATTTACCAAATTTCAACATTACAAACTGTTCAAACTTAGTATCTTCATAGTAGCCATATTATCTCCCTCTACTTTGTATTCTTCTTCTCCCAGGGTGAGAGAGGGACACCTGTTGTTGCTTCATTAAAACCCCTGATGATTCATAACAACCTAAAACAAACAGGCTAAGCACATTCCAGTGTTTTTAATTTATGAGTATCTGAAAAGAAAACAATAGATATTAGATTGTTGGGTGTATTTATTGATTTAAGCCTTGGATCTCACCTGCAAATATTTCTGAAGCAAAGTGGGATTACAAAAGAATCTTTGCAGACCTGGTGAATTTTTTTGGTTAGTGCGCTCAATTGAGTTCTTCCTGTCAGGGGCCTAGTGTACTATGTCTCACTGTCCTGAGAAACAAGACCAACTAACCAAACCTGGGTAGAGGGTCAGTGAAAAGAGTGAGACCCTCAATAAGATGGATTGACAACAATGAGATAGCTGCAACAATGGGTTCAAATATGGCAATGACTGTGAGGGTGGCCAGGACTAGGCAATGTTTTGTTCTATTATGCATAAGGTCGCTATGAGTTGGAGCCAACTTGACAGTCCCTAACAACAATAACACAAACCTAGACATCACTTTGAAGACATCGTCATCAGTCAACCACTTGTCAGCTCTGGCCCCCAATATCATGAAGCATATGTGAAAAAAAATGGTAACTGATGGATCAAAATTCTGCCCCCTCATTTTGCTTCAATAAAACAGTCTACCATACTAAGAGTATTTTTTATTAGGATTTAATATTTTTTAAATGGATGACTACTCCTTGAAAGGAAGAAAGCATTTCTTTAACAGTAATTCATGCTTTCAACCACTGGTAAGTCTTCAGCAAGTCACACACACACACAACTCAAAATGAACAAAGGACGGCCAAGCTTCATTTAGGTTACTATTAGGTTTTTTTTTCTTTTTCTGGTGTGGGGGGGCTATTAACAATAAATAAGGTTATTTACAGTTTATTCTAACCTTTACAAGTATTTTTCTCCTTCTTATGTTCTCAAGAAAGCTAATGATTCTAGGATCTCTAAATGATCCTTAGGATTACTTACCAGGGACCGAGAACTCTGCTTGGATGGCGGCAGAAATTGTCTCACGTTAGTTGGTGTTTCCTTTTCGATTGAATGGCGTCTCTGGGGTGGCTGCCGTCTCTCTGGCTGTGGTGTTGAAGATATGGGCAAGAATTTTGGAGGTTCTAAAAATTTAATCAAATGAAATGAGCTCTTACAAAATTTTGAATTTTGAGTGTACTAAAATTCTTCATTATTTGTGATAAACACTGCATTAAAGGTGAAGTGTTTATTTAATTGGAGGAGTATACTAAGATGGTAGTCCCTCAGAGGAATTTTAGAGATTGTTACGTAAGAATCTTTGCAGATAAAATTGGTATAGAAACAGCATGAGAAAGGACAAAATATTAAGATTTTAGTATTCATTCAAATTTGCACAAAAAAACACAGTATAAATATAGTCTCAGATTTGTACATTTACATGCCCTCATGTTACTTCCCATAGAATTTTGCAGTTAAAAGTCTCAGGCATCTAAAAAACACACACAAACACAAACATAAAAATATGTACTCTGTATGGCCAAAAAAAAACCTAAAATTTTTCAAGTGTACCCTCCTTTTATCATTTTTTAAAAATAAAATATAAAAATTCTTCCTTCTAAATGTTTATCAAGTCTTTTTTTGTCCTTAGGTTTAAATTGAGCTCTATTTAAATAAAAAAAAAAATCCAGTGTTGATGTTAATACTGTATCAGTATTCTCCTCTTCTTAGCCTTATTTTGTGACAAGGTTTAAAAAGAGAGTGTTTTAGTGCCTGAATAGTTCTAGATTCACATTTTGAAAATATTAGGATGACACAGGAAATAAATTATGTTGCCTGAGTTTTAATACTTCCTCCTATAAAAACTGCAAAGTAAGGCTAATTGATATAGTGAGTACGGGGGAAGTGAAAGTTAACAAAAAAATACATATGATCCATTTATTTGTACTGTACCACCAAGAGGAATCACTAAAGGGAAACAAATAACACAATTTTTAGTCACAAAGACGCAGAAACTCACTATTTGATTTAAATGGGTCCCTATAATATTTAATGGGCATGACCAAAGATCAACTACAGATAATAACCAAGGTAAGTTCCTATTGTTTTTGACATAATTTTGTTTAAATAAATCATAACATTATTTAAATAATTTTAACCATTAAAATTTTTGTGTTTATGGGAAATCAAATACATGCCCTAAGAAAAAAATTTTTTTTTTAATTGTGATTTGGGTGAAAGGTCACAGAGCAAATTCACTTTCCATACAGCAGTTCACATACACTTTGGCTCATGACATTGACTACAATTTACCCCAATGCAACAGGTCCCCTCCCACTTTCTCCCAATAGCTATCTCTTCCCTTTGTCCATCCCTCCGTGCACTCCTGCCCCCTGAGCTGTCCTGCTGTGCATAAGCAGCCCTTCTTTCTCCCATGATTGTTCTCTCCAAGGAGTGTACCTACCTAAGGTACATGTTCAACTCATATGCCTGTCTTTTGTTTGGCTGGAAGCCACAGATGTGGGTTCAATTCCAGACCTGAAGGGCAGCTAGGGGCTATAGTCTCAGTGGTTCCACCAAGCTCTATCAGACCAGCAAACCTGGTCCCACCTTTTTTTTTTTTTTTCCCCCGAAATGATTTTGAGTTTTGTTCCACATTGTTCTCCCTCTCTATCCAGGATCTCCTACATAGATCCCCCTCCGACTGGTTGACAGTGGTAGCCAGGCACCATCTAGTTCTTCTGGTCTCATAGTCATATAGGGTGTGGTGTACCACGGTGTACCATTTGCCAGGACTAATTGTTTCCATGAATCTTTGGTTTTCTTCATTCTTCTTTGCTCTGGATGAGGAGAGACCCATAATTGCATCTAGATGGCTGCTTGCAAGCTTTTAAGATCCCAGTTGCTACACGCCAAAGTAGGAGGTAGAACGATGTTTTGTGTAGTATGGGAAAATCTCAATATATAATTTTGAAACTCTCATAATTACAAATGAAACAGATTAAAAGTATTTAGAAATCTGTGTTCAGGATCTATTGTCTGAAGAGATACAAAGGTTTTTCCAATATCTACACATGTATGTGAAAATGTTTGTGTGCATGTTTGTTATTTGTTGGTGGGTACTACTGAGTTGGCTCTGACACATAGCAACACTATGCACAACAGAACGAAGCACTGCCCAGTCCTGTGCCAGTCTCACAATCCTTGCTATATGAGAGCCCATCATTGCAGCCAGTTATATGCATGTATAAGGAGGGAATAATAAAAACATTGACTATTTAAGGATTCTGGCTTAAATTCAGATAAGGTGATAATTAATCTAAATGTGTATAAATGTGTGTGTATATAAAACAGTTATTTTGTACAACTGGGAACTATCATATGTAAACCCAAGTCTTACTGATGTGCTTGCTTTAAGTTAAGAACCTAACACCCAATAACAGTTTAGCCTTACCTTATGATACAAGCCTATAAAAATAACTGAATCTTTCTGCACCCAACTAAAGAAATTCCATGGCTAACTGTTTGTACCCAAAATGACCACGGACACTTTGGGATCTCTGTCCTAGGTCCCGTATGTTTTACAGTGGCTGTGACTGATTCTTTGTACCACACATACTTACTCTTCCTTGTTGACGCAGTCTCTAATAAAGGGTCTTCGAGGAAGGAGGAGGAAACACTGCTGCTACTGGTTGACTTGTGTGCAGTTTCTTCCTGAGAAAAATATCAAAAAACCAAACTCATCGCAGTTAAGTCAGATCTGACTCATAGCTACCCTCCTTGGGTTTCCAAGGGGGTATCACTACGGAAGTAGATTGCACAACCTTCCTTCTGAGTAGTGGCTGGGGGGGTTTGAACCACCAGCCTTCTGGTTAGCAGTCAAATGCCTAGATATCCTAGGCATTACTGTTCTCATGCTAATTAAGAACATTTTATTATTAAATATTTATTTTAACATGAGGCATTACACTATCGTGTCAAAGGTTCAAGGCAGTAGGAGACAAACTAAAAACAATCTACAATTAGACTTGGTCTTTTTTTTTTTTTTTTTCCTTTTCATGACACTGAAGTGACATTGGTCAAATTTCTTATCTTAGGTTCTTCCTTTGTAAAAGAGGGATATAATACTACCACCTTTTCTACAAGGTTATTGGAAGGATGAAATGAGGTAATGCATTCAAAACATTTAATACATTATCTGGCACATAATAACTCAATAAATGAGGGCTAATATTATCATTAGGAGAATATTTAACACATTTATAAAAGTAACAGACTGTAAGCCTCATGAAGGCAGATGCTTTGTCTTATTTATTACTGCATACCAAGTACCAAAACCATTACATGGTAAGTTAACAAATCAATATTTGTTTGGTGAATGCATAAAAATAAACGTTTTATAAAATGTCATATAAATTCAAAATGTTTTCACAGGGCCAAATAAAATTTTAACTCTTTTTACCATTGAGAAAAAAATTTCCTAATTTAAGACTGTACCAAAAAACCCCAAACTCACTGCCATCGAGTCAATTCCAACTTATATGAACCCCCTTTGGGTTTTCGAGGTGGTAAATCTTTACAGACAAAGATCGGCCAGTCTTCCTTAAATGAGTGGCTGGTGGGTTTGAAATGCAAACCTTCTGGTTAGCAGTCAAATGCCTTAGGCACTAAGCCAATTTATTAATGAAATGCCTACTATGTACTATGTGACACATCATACACATTAACTAGAACACAAATAATTTGTATTCTAATAGTTAAGGAATAATGCTAAATATTTTTGAATACAAAGAAAATTATGTAAATGTATTTATCCACGATTATGAAATAAACAGTGAAAATTCTCTTTGACCTACTTAGCTCAGGTGACCTTAAGAATTAGTCATTCACTAAAGACTGGGCTCACTTAAAATTTGCTGCTGAAATCATTAGCTTCAGAGAAGGATCTAGTCAAAGAGTAAGAGAAGAAAAAGGATATGTAACCCACACAGTTCATACAAAGAAGGCTTGAACAGGAGCTGTCTTCCCTCTTCAGGCTCACCAGGATGAATGAAAAGTAATGTAAGCGCAGCTTTTATCCCAGACAGTGTAAATCACACAAATCTCCAGGAAAAGCTAGCAAGTAATGAGAATGATTGCCTTCTGCTTATGGTAAGTCAAAAGGAAATAAAAGCCAAGTATTAAAAAACAAAAACAAAAAAAAAAAAAACCTCACTGCCATTGAGTCGGATCCGACTCATAGTGACCCCTCCTTGGGTTTCCGAGGTGGTATCGTTACGGAAGTAGACTGCCCCATTTTTCTTCCTTTAGGCACTATGCCACCAGAGCTCCTAAGTATCTCTTAGGAGAATAAAAAAGGGTACTAAGCAGTACTTTCCAAATAATTATCTGATGTGGTGGTGCTACCCTAACTTAAACAGCAGAAACCATTCCACATACATCAGCCCACCTTCCCTAGAAACATTTTTACAAGGTTACTGAAGCTCTGGAGGTGTACTGCCTTAGGCAACTGATTGCTAACCAGAAGGTTGGTTGTTGAAACCCACTAGCCACTCCGTAGAAGGAAGACTAGGCAATCTACTTCCGTAAAGATTTACCATCTCAGAAATTCAAAGAGGGTTGCTATGAGTTGGAACCGACTTGATGGCAGTGAGTTTATTTTTGGTTTGGTTTAATTTATGTATTGTTACCTCTATTAGTGTTGAGAAACAGATTATGTTTCTTTATTCATAAATGGAAACTAGTTGTAAAATTCTGTAGAAAATATTACCTCACTTATTTCCATAATAAAGTTGTATCTCAGAAAACAAAGTGGTTCTACAAGTAACTAACTCAGTCTGAATAAAGTCTGATGAAAAAGATTAATATATTTATGATCCCAAATGTTAGAATTTCAAAGAAAACAAAAAATCTGAGAACTATGATCACTGTTTGCGAGTGGTGGTGCAAGGGAACACTACTGCATTTTCAAGCTTTGAATGCATTAAAACATGTTGCCAACTCACTTTATACTCAGTGTGCCTCTCTGCATAGTAGTGTGTCCTCTTATTTACATGTTTACCTCCACAAGGAGGAGATGATTGGGGGAAGCTTTGCTGGGAGATCTCCTTTTCTTCTTCATTTTCCCTCAATAAAGCCCTGTAAAACCTTAATGCAGGATTCCCTACCACCTTTTCCTATATTTAGCACGACCACTCAGTGTCTGATAGCCTGAAAATCCACTAAAGAAGCAAAGCAATTGAACAGGATGTGAGTCTCTGAGCAAGCAGCTTTATTCAAGTTTCTGGGCATCTTTTCCACTTTGAAAATGAGATAGTGGGATGGCATCCTCTTTATGGCCCTGTCCAGTTGAAAAGTACAGACTAAAGATAAACTACTTTCCTGAATCCTCCTTTTCAAAATAAACACAAAACATTTGCAGATATGGTTCTAGGGGAATTAAAATTTCAGTTTAGCTACATTTAAAGGTAAGAGCTGATTTTTGGGGGAGGAGGAGGAGTTAATAATGCTGATTACTTTGATTTCATGTTATTCTTCCAGACATAACTGAGGTAAAAGTAGATCATTTAAAAACATGTATTGGGAGATTTCTTGTAAGATGGCAGAATAGGCAGACAAGGGTCACTGACTCTCTTCAACAAAGAAGAGAGAAACCAATTGATACAGATAGAGAAGATAATCCTGGAGCCCTGAGCTTTGAAAGGAAGGATACAGAAGTGGATTAAATACCAACGAGCAGAAGAACCTGAATGAAAATGATGAGGAAGGAAACAAATGGAGCTGCAGACTGTCAAGAATCCTGATGACACGGACAGTTTGAATATTTCTAAGTGTTATTAGGACCTGAAAATTAGCCTAAAAAATTGGCCCTGCTCACCAAAGCCTCCATGGACGACTGCACTGGGCTAATGACTAGACAGGGAAACAGCATAAGAAGGGAACAAAATAAGCTGTGGACTTTTGGCTGTCTTGAGGGCATAAATGTTTAAAATTGGTGTGGCCATTTTGGATATTCCAAGTGACAGAATTCTTATTCAGATTCCAGGGACCTAAGAACAGTGCTGCTTGCTTGCCAAGGACAGCACAAACATACTGGAGGCTGATGACTGGAAAGGAGACAGGTGGCGAGTGCCTAAGTGCTGTGAACTAGTGCAAAGAAGAGCACAGTACCCTACTTACTCGGATACATCCAAACAAAATGAAAATCTTGGGCAGATCACTCTAACATAAAATCACCAATTAAAAATAAACAAAATGTCACAATGTCTTGGAAACAACAGATCATCACAGTCCACAGAAAGAAACAAGATAAAGCAGTAGAAACAAGGGACCAGGATACAGAGCCAGAACATATCCCACAGGAAGCAGCAGCACTGGAACTCCCTGATAAGGACTTCTAAAGATTTATATTTACATACCTTCAATGGATTAAGAGAAAGATCAAGGAGAACACTGGAAAAATTAGGAAAAACACAGACAAAAAGCTAGAAATATTCTGGAAGACAATACAAGAAAAAAATGAAAAAAAAAAAAAAAAGAAAATTTAGAAATGATACAAAATCGATGGATAGAAATCCCAAAGATTAACACTAAATTTTGAGTTAGATAACACAATGAACAGGCAGAGGAGTAGAATTCAATCAGTGGAAGACAGAAATAGGGAGACTGAAGACAAAAATACCACAATACTTCTTTAGAAAGGGAGCAATCAGAAAAAAGATCAAAACAAAATGAAGAAACCCTAAGATCCATGTGGGATACCATCAGTAGGAATAACCTATGTGCAATGGCAAATTACAACAACAACAACAACAATGGGAATTCCATAAGAGGAAGGGACAAATAAAACCACAGAGAAAACAGTTGAAGATTTGCTGGAAGACAATTTCCTTGATATGATAAAAGACAAGAATATATCCATTCAAGAAGTCCAATGAACCCCAAACAAGATAGACTTCAAAAGAAAATGACCAAGACATATCATCATCAAACCCACCAAAACTAAAGACAAAGAAAGAATCCTGAAAGCAGCACAGTAAAAACAAAAAGTTATCTATAAAGGACAATCAATAAGACTAAGCTTGGATTTCTCAGCAGAAACTAAGCAGATGAGAAGGCAATGGGATGGTATATATAAAACCTTGAAAGAAAAAAATTTCCAGCCAAAAATTATATACCCAGCAAAACTGTCCCTCAAATATAATGGTGAAATTAGGGCATTTCCAGATAAGGAGCAATGAAGGAGATTTGTTAAAACCAGACCAATCATACAAGAGGGGAGTCCTTTGGACAGAGAGGCAACAATAGCAAACAATAATAGACCATTAACACATACAATCCCATAATCCAGAAAACAACCCAGTTATGAAAGTATCCAAAGGAAAATGAGCTTATAAGATTATAAACAGGGAACCAGAGATATCAAATGGCAAATGAGGACAAGTACAAACCAAAAGAGGGGAAAAATAGCATAGTTACAGAACTTCTAAATGGTGAGGAAGTCAAGACAATTTCAAGACAGAATGGACTATTGTAAAGGAAGAAGCTCTGGTAGCATAGTGCCTAAGGCACTTGACTGCTAACCAGAAGGCTGGCAGTTCAAACCCACCAGCCACTCCTCGGAAAGATGTTGGGCAATCTACTTCCATAGTGATACCACCTCGGTAACCCAAGTAGGGGTTGCTATGAGTCGGGTCTGACTCGATGGCACATAA